CTTTTAGTTACTGTTGAACTTTATTAGTATCTATTGTACTTTAGAATATTTAGTTGGAGTAGTACAATATCGTGCTTAAAGGTCACGATGTTTGGTGTTCACGTGCCGAATACTTCGAAGTTTATCAAGAAAGAGAAAAAAAAGTTGGCAAGATACGGGTAATTTCAAATTCTAGCACTCTGTAGGTATTTTCATATTTTTACTGTTTGTTTCTTTCATTGGCTGAGGCTAGCAGAAGAGAACTTCACAGACAAGACTCTATCTAAATCCCTAAGTTTTCTAGATCGCTATATACTATCACAAAGATACTTTATTTCCATATAAACCAAGATACAGACTACCTCAGAACTTCACAGACAAGACTCTATCTAAATCCCTAAGTTTTCTAGATCGCTGTATATTATCACAAAGATACTTTATTTCCATATAAACCAAGATACAGACTACCTTAGAACTTCCAATCCACACATTGGGGTCCCTAACCAATAGGCCTCAAGATACAGACTACCTTAGAACTTCCAATCCATACATTGGGGTCCCTAACCAATAGGCCCCAAGATACAGACTACCTTAGAACTTCCACTCCACACCTTGGGGTCCCTAATCAATAGGCCACGTCTGACGAAGTTCTTTTTTTAATTAAGTGTTTCAGATTCTAACCCAATATATATTTGATTTGCTGAAACGATATTAAATAAATAACGGCACAAACTACACAACATGTACAAAACAACAATGATTAATAACCTCAAATAAACCGAAACGTTTTGAAAAACATAAAACCTAACTATTCTGTCTCGAATCGGGTGCATTTCATTTTCCTATTGTATTTTTTTTTGTTAGCATTCACGATGTGCCTATAATACCATAAAGATATCTTTCACAACTATCAGACAATGGTTGCACAATACTTACTCTTTTGGGGGGCAGTAATACTAATTTTGTTAAGATTAATACATCTTTTGTCTAGTAATGCCAGTTAATTATGTATGATACACCCTTTTTATGTTAATACTAGTTATACTGAGTATAATACATCCCATGTGTGGTAATACTAACTTTGTTAAATATAATTCGCTCCTTGTCTGATAATACTACTAGTTATATTAAGTATAATACGCTTATTGCTTGGTAATGCTAGTTTTGTTAAGTATGATACCGACCTTGTTTGGTGATATTATTTGTATGAAGTATAATACACCCTTTGTCTGGTAATACTAGTTATAGTACGTATAATATACCTCTTGCCCGGGAAACCCAGTTATATTAAGTAAGATATACCCCTTGTCTGGTAATACCAGTTATATTAAGTACGATATAACCCTTGTCTGGTAATACTAGTTATAGTAAGTATAATACACCTCTTACCCGGTAATACCAGTTATATTAAGTACGATATACCCCTTGTCTGGTAATACCAGTTATATTAAGTATAATACACCACTAGTCCAGTAATACCAGTTATATTTAGTATTATATAGGTCTTGTCTGGTATACTTGTTATGTTAAGTATGATACAGACTTTATCCTTTAATAAGCACATGTTACATGATGTATTGGACGTTTCGTATTTATGATACATGTTAATTTTGGGGCAGTCTTTATCTAGTACGTATAAATTACTTGAACATGAACATCTTTGTGTTCTTGTATCTATTATCAAAAACCACGATGTCACGGGTAAAGTAAAAAAAGAAAGATTTCTAATGTAATGACCAAATGTATAATCACAGTGGCTGTTCATTTCAACTGAAAGCATTTCATTGAAAGCAGATAATTTAATCAAGTGAAAAATCTAATTCTCAAGTGTTTGTGTAATTTTATGTTTTATTGCTCAAATGTAAATTTAATTTGAATGAAATTTTCCTGAGATACAAAATTAAGTGGCTCGCAGTTTCGTACTAATATGTGATTCTAAAAAATAGTTATTAATATTAACCTCTGATCAAAGCTGGTTACTTACATAGATCAGAGCTTAGAATATACCCAATAATGAAAATAGCTAATTAGATATACTGTTGAAAGTATATTAATTATAACGAATATAATTGATTGTTTCATTAGTTGAGTACTCTCGTTGTTAACGATGTTTTCGGTCGTAAACCCAATAATATCTTAGGTTTATCCTAAATCAATATACTAAGCTAACAATGCAGAATAATCCTTACATTAAAAATATAATTAAAATTAGTACAATGTAGACTAATCATTATAATAAAATAATGAACACAGAAATATAATTATAATTAATAAAAATAAGTATTGTAACAACCACTGTGTTTCCAAGTGGTAAAGATTTCACTTGTTTATGCCGATAACTGATAATTTGTCTATTCTAGATCAACTTCAGTTAACTAATATGTTTTTACTTTATTTGCTACATTCGTCAATGAGATGATTTGCTCAAAACGGCAATAAATATAGTCAATTTCTTTTCGTTTAGGCCGATTATAACAAAATATTATTAATAAAACAATATAATTACTTTTTATCTTTATTTTGTTATGATCAGTAGAGCATAGTTCTAAACTGTAATCCACTTTAAAAAAAAGCTGCGCTAATTCTAAAACATAAAGCACGAAGTTATATGTTTTTTATATATCAAATTGGTAAGAACATCTTCTAATAGTTTTTATAGCATTTTGATTATACCTAAAATGCGTCAAAATTTATTTTTGAATGTTATATTTGTAAGTGTTTTCGGAGAACATGGGCATCCTTATCTAAGTCTCGCTGCTCTTCAGAAATTTGAAAATAATTCGTCTGCATATTATCTATGTAGGCTAAACAATCCTAATTATTTTATTCAATCTACCTTTGAATTAATAGCCTAATATACATAGAATACAATTAGATAAGCATGGACTATTGCAAGATTATACACACATGTCGGTGTATTTGTTCTTATCTTAACTAGAGTATGGTTCGAAAAAATTGGTCCAAATTCATTGAAATAATTGTAATAAACTGAACAGAAAGTGTTTGGACTATGTGTACTTTAGGTTTGAAGAAAAAGTCATTTTTGTTTCATTTTTTAACGCGGAAAGAATTGAGTTGTTAAGGGAAAGGAACATCCCCAACTGGGGTGTTCAGGAATATGGGTATCTCCCTTGTTTAAAATGTAATTCGAATTTTATAATATTAGAGCCCCAAACATCTATTATTGTTGCAATACGGTACTGTTGTGTAAAAGAAACCCTTATACAGGGGCTTCGAAATCTACATATGATAAATTAGCCCAAATCATTATCCGACAGAAACTATTCTGATACAAAAGTGAAATTAAAGGAAAAATATTTCTGTCTTTGTATTTGTATACACATGAGATCTTGCGTTTCATGAACATATACATATAATGTGACATTTAGTCAGAATAGTGCACGGCATTAGACCGAATATCATGTGCTAGAATATAATGAATCTTCATATATATATATACATAGTGACATGCATATTTAAACTTGTATACCTTTTGGTTTTAATGTGTGAAACTGATAAAGAAATGTGCAATCTGGATATACAATATTTACTTATATATATACGTTATTTTTATTTTTTTTATAAACTCTAGCTTATCACTTCTATTCAAAATATCTTCATTCCTAAAAGTAAAAATATCTAATGTGATGTTTCCAAAACTTTTAAATGAACAAAACATCGAATTTTGACTTTCAAATACGCTCCTCTCTAATCTTTTATATTTACATAAGCAGCTTCGTTTTATTAGTAGTAGTAGAGAGAATGTCCCTGGATAGTCACGTTTCTAGCTCTTTCAGAATTTATTGCTCTGATGATAAAGGATTTAGTGGTACTTTTGCCTCTCCGTAGATTTAGATGGACTTACTACAAGTATTAAATGATATATTTAAGCATATCGATATTTCACAGATAAAGCACGTGAAGATTTCAAAAGAGGAGTATTTCTGCTGAATATTTTGCCATTTCGCTTTATCTAAACAGGCAAACGAAGTAATCTCGCTGTTTTTAAAGTCTCATGACGGAAAAAAATACAACAAAGGCACTTTTTAGTATAAAGTGAGCCAATCTTGAACAACAATAACAAAAAAAAGTCGAGATGAACTTAAAAACTTCATTACATAAGTTTAGTTATGTAAAAATTAATTTTTCATAACAAATTACCAGTTTACTCGTAAGCGAAACATTTAATTTTCAGATATATTAATTTGAAAATCTGCCTAATGCGAAAACGTTAACTTTAAATGTGAAATACTTTAAACCAATAGACACTACAGGCTTCAATTATCTTTCAGTTATAAAACATCATTAAGTTTTTCGGATTTTCCTCCAGTTGGAAGAGCACTCAAGGTAAGAATCAGAGGTATTGTACATTTGTTTTGTAAATACATTGTTATTAAGTCAAAGGCTATTGAATAAAGGATCCCGGATACCACAGCATTCCTGCACCGACATGAATTTTTTCTTTGGTTTGAGTGTACATTTTTAAATATACAATTTTTAACATGAGGCTTCATTGCACAGCATCTGTAATTATTTTTATCTATTTTAAATGAATGCTTTTGCATAGCTTGTCAGTCGTTGTTTCTTGATAAATGTACTTCTTTCGACAAATAACCTTGTTCTTTAAAACTATATGGAAAGTATCTAAATACAGTGATATATGGATGGAACGTGACAGACGAGTAATCGAGGCTAATTTCATTCTGTTTTGAAATACGTTGTTTTATGTCCTGTTATCTGTCTGTCTGTTTATCCATCCACAGTATTTTATAGACATATTTCCATTCTCATTATTTAGAGTGATCTTAAGTTTGTTATTGTTTGAAAAGCTAATGCTTGTAGCCGTTCTGTATTGTTTTATAACCTATTTTACATAAACTGCTCTTAAGAAGTTGAATATATTCCACAGATTCAAATCGATCTCGATTACAAAACACGAGCTAATATTTACTCAAACCTCAGGACTCATGGTTATGATTTCTTCCACAATTTATCTTTACAACATACAAATTAGTTACTAAAACAGACTAACAATATTCTTCTGTTTCACATATCAAATTTCATTACAGCTGCATGTTTTATTAGTGCACACTCTCAATACTCGTTTGTCCTAATTCTAAATGTTACACTTACTGGTTTCGTTATTCTTAGACAGTAACCATTCTGCTTACATCGCCTAGAAACAGCAGTACTTTGGTTACAAACTTGACTTACCTTCTTTTCATGTAGCTTGTTGCTTGTCTCGTATATCGAAGACTCTGGACTCTACTACTTCTGGGGCTTCAGGGTTATTGGTTAGGTACTAATGCGCAAAGTATTTAAGTTCATGTTGTAGTCCAGTGGGCGAGTCTTCCTGACGTCACCACTCTCACGACCAATCAAGGAAGCACGTGTCACAACCATCAGAACTTTACAAGATGTAGAATATCGAGTAGGCGTCGAGACGTCAACAGGCTGATTTTTTCAGTCTTCGTTCGAGATTTGTTATAGTACTTTAAGTTAACATGGAACATAATTTATCCTTTCTGAAACTTTATTGAACCAAGATCAGTTCATAATTAATTATAATGACTTCAAACTTTTATTAAAACGTTGTTTTATTATTCAAATCAGATCATTTCTAGAAATCTGATACTTGTGAAGAAAATGTACAGAGAAAATAGATTCGTGAGCTCTGATTTTTCCAGAAAAAAAAAAAGACAAAATATGAAAAGATCTGAGTATGTGAAAAAATATAGCAATATAGTAGATGGCTGAATAACACGTTAAAACAACTACAATTGTAGAGGTATGTTACTTCAGAAGTTAAGAAACCTTGTAAATTTCTCATTCTCTCCATTTAATATTTATAAATAGTTTCTTAAATGCCTCCTGCTATATTAAAATATAAAGAAGTTGGCAATACGATTGTAATCGTACGAAAATGCGAAATAACGTTTAAGTATTATTCTAACTCAGCGTAGGGATTTAGGTCTTGATGACCTTGGAGGGTCAGGTTCGAAATGACCTCTTCCTACCTCCTTTTCTATTGTACTGTGTTTTCTTCTTACGGTATATACCGTATTTTTCGGAATATAAGACGCACCGGTGTATAAGACGCACCCTTATTTTGAAGACAAAGTTTTGGGGAAAACTTTACTATACTAACTTTACTAACTCCATTACTATAATTAA